TAGCCAAATATGCTTTCAGTCAAAGTCGATTTTCTTTAATCTGCGAAATACCACGGCAGAAATGCTCTGAAGAGATCATTGACTAAGGTTCACATGCGTTTCACAATGGATGTTCAAAAAGCATCCTTGGAGATTTTACAACAAGCAGATGAAAATGGCCAAAGACTTTTCCGAGGACCTAATAATTGGCTCACCCACTCCGATGTCCGTTCTCTCTCCAAGGCTTAGTCCTAGGGTTGCCACCTTCCTTCTTGGGTTTTGGAGCCGAGCCAGGCGCCGTTCTCTAATCGTCTGCGCTCTGGCCTTTCGCGGCAGAGAACACAGGGGAGAGTTCAAGTAGTCACGTAATCAATGGAAAATTACAACTCCGTTAGGTGAAAGTCAATAGAGCAGAAAAATCGATGTAGCTAACAATAAGCAACGTCTAGGGAGTTCCCAGCATGGAGCGTGTCCTGAAGTACAGAGCGTTTTCTACAAGTCCCCATAATTCGGTTCCGAGAAGTCTTGGAGAGCAAGAAAAGTGGATAGAGGTTAGAGAAGAAGTAGAGGTTGAAAGCTAAAGGTGGGCGCGGCGTGCACAAAAAAGGGCGGAGTTTGCTAATAAATTTGCAATAAGAACTTAGAATGGAAAATTCGAGAATAAGAGGTGGTTCGTTTCGCCTCTTACTCAGACGAACCACTATTTATGTTTTTGTCAACCCATATAAAGTTATGGGTAGTCAAAAACAAAAATCAAACAATGAGGTTACAAGTAACTGTCACTTGTAACTCGGTTCCAAAAAAAAACCGTTAGACAAGAAAAAAGTGAATAGAGGTCAGCGAAGGAAATGAAGCTAACTGCTATCAATGGGTGGGGCATGCAAGAAAAAAGGCGGGTCTATCCATGAAACATTATGGCTCGGTCATTGGCCATTGGCCTCCCTCACCAATGTTTGTTCTGACGGATCATCAAGGAGAGGAACCGAAAACCCAAACGAGAGAAACGAAACGTCAGGCCAGTAATAAGGACTCCATCTAAAAACCTCGTTGGCAGAAGAACATTATAATTACTGATTGGATGGTTAGATCAGTCGCTTTCCGGCGCAACGGGTGAAGAACTGTGCGCGCCAATGGAAAGCACGCGACGAAGCCGCACGTTGCCGCATCTCTACTCAAAGTACCTGTTACGGAGAGCGGAGGGGAGGGGGAGAGTCGGGGATGATATCGAGGCTCTTCAAGGGTTTACGGACTACTTGCACTTTCGTCTATGGTTCAGACGAAAGTGTGCAGACGAAAGCGTCGAGTGAGGCAGCTTAGAGGGCCGAGTGCAAGTAGTCCGTCGACCCTTTTCAAGGGGAAGGGGGTGGTAAGACGCTCTCGGTTCAACGTGACGTTTGACTGTGGCTCGGGGAGGCATTATGAAATCATCAATGCGTGAGCTAAGAGCGGATGTATGCCAACAGAGTCATTGGGCCTCGCGCTGCTGGTCACGTTGCCTGCAGTGGGCAAATTCTGTGTGCGTCATTCTAACTGAATGTTAGAGGAACGCTCTGTGAATCCGTCTCTTCAGACTTCAACTTCAGTCAATGCGCGCATAGTTCCAATTCCTTCAAACTTTTTTCTTTTTGTGTTTTTCAATATTACTATTATGAAATCGAAACAATTTTGTTCACGCCACTTTCTATGAAAAAGCCAGAGCATGGGAGTTGGAATTTGGTATCCGCGCCCCACAGAGATTATTGTGGACTGCAGGAAATTCGCTGCTCCTACCGTCAAATCCAAAAAATCCGCGCTTCTCGGAAAATGTCGCGTCGCGACGCCGCCCAAGTGGCCGCGCGCGGCGGCGCGACGACTGGACGATTCCGTTGACCGTTCCCTACTGAGAGCTGGTCCCCGATTGGAGAGATAGTGGAAATCAGGAGAGGCGAGACTGTCAAACGAGGGATCGACAATAGTTTTCATGGAATAACTTATTACAACTTCAACCAAATCAGTAGTTTTGCACATGGTTAGACTCGCCACAGAGAGACGAGTCCATTGCTGTAAGATCCTTTCATTTTACCCGCTTTCGAGGGAGTTATGACGGTGCGACGGTTTGCGACGCTGCAAAACCGTCGCAACGCGTAGGTGTTTCAAAATTAGGAGCAGTATTGTACCTCTGGAACGGTCTGGAACGGATGGATGATTACTTTCCAATTTCTCCAATGCGTTGGAGAACTGCGTCGATATATTATATAGTCATGCTATCACGTAGGTTTGAAAACAAAATCTTCCGGTTTTTTTCGGGTTTCCTCCAAACCGTGGATTCCCAAACGTAGTTTAACCTGGCTTTTAGTCGGACTTTCTTTACGATATTATAGCAAAATTAATGATAGTTAATTAGTGGGCAATACGAGTTCAAACCTTATACGTCATCATCTCTTTGGATGGTCTCAGTAATCTGCTTTACCACGCTCAGGAAAAGTCGGGAGATTGCTTGAAGCAGTACCTGTGAAATTTGTCAATTTATGACTTTTTCCATATGTTCACAGTCACCAAGAAGCTACGAGCAATGATTCCCCATGGGTTCCTGATTGAGATTGAATGTGGTCAGATGAGTTGCCTTAACTTGCTAACACTTGAACTGCACAAGTGACAATCGCTGTTTGTAAGATCTCAGTTCGATACGTCCTAATAAGCTTTTGATGAAGTCAGAGGAGATGACCCAAACAGTAACACCACCATCAGTGAGTCTGTGGCTGACATGGCTTAGTCCTCAAGTAGCATCAGTTACTTCCCGGGCTATGGTTTTATTCGAAGAAGACTACCTAGGCCACTGTACCGTTTTGTGTCACGGAAAGGCATCGTCTCTGCGAATCACTCCAACCCGTTGGTGTTTCCAGACGTGAAACAATGTCTGAGGAAGTAATCGACGGAACTCGTATTTGCGAGGGAAAGTGAGAAGGTTGCAAGCGCAAGGATCAACATCGCAGCACGAAGATACTGTCACTCAATCTCTGTGTAATCACTGATCTTAAAAGTTTTTTTTTCAGTTGGCGTGAAGCGAATGATATCTTAGAACGAGAAAACAAAAATAAAAAACAAAAAAGTCTTAAGCAATTCGAAAACTGCGTGTTGCGCTAGTGGTGATCAGTAGGATGACGCAGGGAAGAATCGCGACAGTATACTAGCTTCACAAAAGTCATCGCTTGACATCAATCGATATCTTTTTTGTAGAAGCTTCTAAACTCATTTAGTCTATGCAATAATGCGGACAATGAACGAGCGCCTTTTTGTCCTTCAACACGGTATTGAAAGCGATTAAATTATTTCGGAGTGATAGGGAATCGGCCGGGATTTGATTTAATAGACATTCGTGAGCTGGAAAGGGCCACTTGTCACTGCCGCGCTTTAGCTCAAAATTATTGGACTTTCTGATGCTTATTAACTTTTTTCTTTTCAAAAATAGCCGTAGATAATGGTAATGTAAAATACTTACTTCAAAGAATGTATGCACGTTGAGAATGGAGGAGCAGTATATCAGTAAAAGTTTGGAATGGGAAGATTCGCAGTCTTCTTGATATCACATGCTGCAGCCGGAGATGTCTCATTTCATAGTATTAGAGTTGGAAAGGAAAAGAGGTCGATGAAGTGTTCGGACATTAATGTTGTCATAGAAGCTATTCTTATTATCGAGGCTGGAAATACCCTCCTCTGCTCAAACAAACAGTATGTCATTCAGCAGATGTTCTAGGAAGATCGAAGCGAACCGGTATAATTTAAGGGAGGGATCAGACATGATCAGTGCTTGGCCGAAATGTGGCGATTGGGGATGAGAAAGAACTTAACACCATTGGTTTTCTGACAGGTCTTGAAAAAGGTCCTCACAGGTTTTACCAGGACTCAGTTGGCTAGAGGTAACAGAATGAGCCAAACTGGCGCTTTCACCTTAGCAGTCTGCAGTAACAGAGTTGTTAGCTTGTAAACACGAGGCATGAGGTTGAGCGGCTTGTTAAGAAGAAGGAGGATTTAGATCAGATACAGCGTTGTAAGGCACCTGAGGAGGACGTTGTCATGATTGTTTCTCAGGACAATGAATGTAATGACAAAGAGGACATTGCCAGTTCAGGCTACAAGAATACATCAATGTACCTGTGGAATGAAATATTGATAAATTTGGTTTCTTACTGCACAGCGGTGAAATACTTTTTAAACGGAGCATATAGGGGGGGGGGGGCCAAAAAAAAGACATTTTGCCTCCACTTCCAGATGGATTTAAGCACATTTTACTCAACTCAGACCGAACGGTTCCAACTTATTATTAAAGAGTGCATTCCATTCTATAAGAAAATCTTCATAGTGGCCACGTACGTGGACGGCATCAGAAGAATTAGCCCTGGAAACATGGTGCACTGGTCGATCTCAATGGGGTCTTCGAAGGATCGTGTACCATAACGACCCTTACTGGAAAGCTAGTTCCGAGGGGATTTGCACAGTGGTAGCTAATGCCTCTAGAAAACTATCCAACATTAAATCGATTCACGAAATTGCGTAAGAGCTTCAGGCTGAAGCTCTTACGGTAGACCTCCTTGAGCCTGACGACGGTGACAGATGACGTCATATTCTGAAGACGGTGAGGGCAGTGAAGGAGCCTGCGTACACTAATAGAGGAACACTTAGGGAATACTCTGCTGAGGAACTCCCGTCAACGACAGCAATCTCTGCGAAGAAAAAAGAGCCGAAGTCCGACATAGGCAAAATGTCTTTTTTTTTGGCCCCCCCCTGTATATTTGGGGTAACTGAGTCGGAACGTTTGCGATCTCTCTCATACACCTTTATTTTTTGATTCCTGGTTGCGTTTGCGCCAACCTCAACCTTCCCAGTGGTTTCAGTTCTAGAAGCACTGGCAATTAGACAATCAAAGACCTAATTAAAATTTAGTGATAAGTATAAGATTAAGATGAATAGGGTAAGAAATATATATAGTGAATTCTGCCCTATCGACGTATTCATCACTATTCCTGCAAATACCACAGTTACAGATGTATGTGACCGAGCTTGTTGCTCCCAATGCGACCCTCATCCCGAGGTGCTGGGAACTTTGGCGAGAAACAACGAATTTTGAGAGTCTAACAAAGTATACGTTATGTTGTAGAGAGATTCTGAGGAATTATACCACCACAAATATATTTATCTACGGAAAAGTAAGTTTGGTTGTTTACTTTTCTTGGTAAGAAGGTATGATAGCGAGCCCAACTATCGAATCCATACCGTCTCAACATGCTCTCAGCTCTGACGGCAAGTGTTGGGTGGGGAGAGGGACTTTAGTCAAAAATGACCTCTTAATCACTACCTCGCACCTGCCACCTTATGCCTCCTAGCGATCGCCTGCGGAGTGACCTCACTTGATTGGCTGTGCTGTCTGCTGACCTCGTACAGACATACTAAGTTAAGAAACCGTAGACACCAAAATCGTTCTCTCACAAAATGTAAGAGTTTATGTTAGGTTGTTCACTCAATTTTAGCCATTTTTCTCGGTCAGGAAATGTTTATTGTAGAGAAGTGATACAGGTTAATACCAAAGAAAATTCCCACTATTATTTCAGCACCTCTCCTATTTTTTTACCAATTGGTGATTCTGACCGAGGGTACGATTTTAATTTCGAATGTCAATTTACAGGCTCGCTGTTGCACATATTGAACAATACAAAATCTCCTGTCAGCTAAGTTGTGCTTTGCCAACCTGATGAATGGTAATTACAAAACCGTATGTCCTCGATTGCACGAGAGTTTCGTCGAGGGTTTTTCGAAATTTGGCTCTGTTCCAAGTAGAGCCCCAGATAGTGATTCTACATATCCGTGCGGCAGCCCTTTTTCCTCTTTTTTGAATATTTCCATTTCAAGAGCGACTTGAGGAACTTCTAATTCGCTTCAGCCAAAGCATCGCAATGCGCAAATGCTTGAAAAAATTACTAGCATGGAATTTTGCGGCTGGCCGGGATGTTTTTTGCCAAGACATTAGAATCACCTGTTGAACTGACCAGAACTAGGAGCCCCAGCTAAAAAATGTTGGAGAGTGGCGATGCCCTCACGGACTCAAAAATGACAGTGAAAAAGGTGAAGTCAAGTTAATACCATACGTAAGTGAAACACAAGCCAGGAATATGTCACTGAAAAGTGTTTGAGTATTTGATTTGAACCTATAGCCAACAAAAACATTGCTGTTGGCTTTTTTGAATTCACTCCCAAGGTCGTGTTCTGTTCCACCAAAATATATAAAGTCATAAATGAAAATGTGCAGTTTTCTACGCTACACTAAGAACACGAAATGAATTTAGTCAAACTAGCACAGACAAAAATATCTGAATTTAAAATGCTTCCCTAAAATTCTTCTATGTCTTGCTTTTTAACAAATTAACTAAATTTACTTTATTTAATTTTTGATATTTACTGGCGTGTTTTGTATTTCCTGTTTTGTTTCTTTACTGTTTTTTAATCCCCTTTTTTAACACGTGTTTATGTGATAAAGTTCATTATTCATATGATCGATACTGAGTCTGAGAGGAAGAGGTCAGCAGACAACTCAGTGCAATTAACAAGGTCTTCCCACAGGCAGGTGAGTGTAGGTGCGAGGTGGTATCCCCATAATTGCACTTTAGACTAAAGGTGCACACCCGTGTTGGGTGCACCCCTAAGTTACGATCGCCTACCACCATCAGGTCAATACCCTTCTCCAAGCAAATTGCGAGGTTTCAGCAAGAATCGTCGCCCATCTTCATATAGCACCTCTTACAGAGCGCTGGTCTGATATATAGACCTAGCATTCTGAAAGCTGCCAGCAGCAACGCTTTTCTCAGCTTTCTTAAGTAGAAGTAACTTTTCAGCGGCTGATGTCCACAAATAGTGCGGTTACGGACCGGTCGACTACACTCAGATTCGTGATAAAAATTCATTCACCGAACCAAACAACTACACACCTATAAAAATACAACAAAACGAGAAAACCAAAGGGGGTTTCCCGGGAGTGAAGGACCCCGACCAAAATGGGGGCTGCTGGCGGGAGACGAGCCAAAGAGACGGCCTGGGAGGGGCGGAAGCCTACCGAAGCCTAATTCGTGCCCTGTTATTCCTCACGTTGATGTTGGTTTCCGCGCATAGCCGCTGAGTATCAGACGCTCCTCTCCATCGAACAATCGGTTTATCGTAGCCTAAAACACTGAATTATGTATACCCACCGGTGACCTTTTCTAACAATACCCGCGCCGCTTGCGCCTCTGCCTCCCCATCGATAGATAAACCCTCGTCGTCCGACTCTGACCGTTTAGGAACGAGAGCGTGGTGTTGATGAGCACCGGTAAGAGTCACATCGAAATCCACGGGCCCTACACGAATTCTCCGTCCATCGTTAGCTTCCACCGTTCTTAGGCAAAGTGCTCCATCATTTTGATGATCGGAAATTAATTTCACTCTGAACGGCATTTCACCGAAGAAGACCATCTCTCGGTGGCGCGCCGACGTAATCATTCGGAAAATGTCTTGAAGTTCTCGCACCGGATTATCTTTATGGATGAAGCATGGAGTGAGGCATTTCAGGCAGCTACCAGTACAAAGTTATACCTTCTTCTCAGCAATATGACAACTTGAGGGATGACCTTTTTCTAGCTTCTTGACTACCAGTTGGCGCCGCACGCATTGCGCGCACAACACAGATCTGCGGCGAATTTTGATGGTGCGACGAAAATTTTCAAATTTGGCTTGATACACCACGAATATCTGAATTCATGAATAATGAGGACTTGTAGAAAATGCTGTACACTTCAGAGCGCGCCCCGCCCATTCTGGGCGGGCCTCCGCCCACGTCATGTATGCTGGAAACACCTTAGACATTGCTCCCTTACACCAATTTGTTTTCTGCTCTGTAGGCTTTCTCCCAACCGAGTTATGAAATTTTTCATAAAGCACTGCTTTTTTGGAGAACGCCCCGCCCACCGGGGGTGGGTCTCCCTAATTCGATGTGACTTACCAATGCACACCTTTACCCACTTTTTGGCCCAGTTTCGAGGTGTTTTGTCACTGAAATTGAAATCTTGGTCTTCAGTACAGTTCATTTCGATGCACGCCACGCCCACTGTGGGCGGGGCTCCGCTTAGCTGATGTGTGTTTTGTACTTCGTGAGACCTTGCCCACCCATCCCACACTTGACCCGGTCCCTCCAGGCGGATCCCGAGGAGCTAGGGAATTTCGTGACAGACATACAGAACGACAGACAGACGACAGACAGACGAGACGAAGCGCTTTATAGTAAGTAGGATGTTTCTTAGCGACCTCGTCGCACCATCTCGTACCTACCATTGAACATTTTTCGAGGTTGTAGCCGGTGGTGTCCACCATTCTCAGCGGTATTTTATAGCTTCGGAATCCTTTTATCATTTGATCAAACTCCTCAGTTTTGTCACGCACTAGCGGCACTTTGGCTGTTGTTTTCACCAAGCACGTCTAACTGAGTGGTTATGGCTCTGATTGAATCAAGTCCAACCCTTCTGAAAAACGTGGGCGCTGAGAAGTGGGAACTCAAACACTTATAGAGGACGTGGAAAACAAAAGGCTGATCACCACTTGCTCGCTTATCGCTAAAAAGTTTCAAAGGAACAACCGCTGTAACTTTGAACAAGTAGTTTTGGCGTACCCTGTAACTGACCCTTTTTAACAGCCATCTTCTTATACAAAGAAAGACACATGAAATTAAGGGAAAAGGATGGGCAAGAGATGCCTGGCTGACCAACAGCCACTGGAGCCCACGGCGGGACTTCATGTTCCATGCTATGAAGGAGCAGTACAGGAAGGAGTTTTCAATCGAAGACATAGGGTACTCACATCAAAGGGCCTTCACAGGTACTGGAAGACTTACCCATTTATTTGTAGCACTTTTCAATGTCCACCTTATTTTCCATGGATCAGCCCATTTCGAACGCCAATGAATCCAGAGCTGTGTAGGAAAGGTACGTTCGTTCAAACCAAAACTTCAGTCATTCCAAGCGCGATCATGTGTGTTGTTCGGTGAGAGGAAACACGTGTAATTTCCTTGCATCTGATAAAAGAGCCTCTGCCCTTACCATTAGGCACGAACAGACTGTACTCTAGCATGACCTAGATGCGACTAACAGTCCATATCGACCGTGAGGGGCGGATCCCACGCGACTCTTTAGACGCTGCGGCGCACCGCGCCGCAATGGAACGTTGCCGTTCCACAGCGAATCTTAGTGGTGAAGACGGGTGACTGGCAATCCGTCTTGTCGTCTGCACTCCTCCGCATCCACAATATCTCAGCAGGAAGACGCAGCCTTTCCGTCTGCGCTCTCGCCCGTCTGTCGATCATGTCGAATTTATCAGTGTTTAGAGAATGATCCGACTAATTCCTGCTGATATTCTCAACTGCGCGCTTCTTTTTAAGGCGATTGAGTTTTAAAGATCATAATTTGCTTCTGCATGTTTTGTGAATGATTTTATGACCACACTTGCCGCGTTTGTAGCAACTATGCGTATTTTCTGTATGTTCGCGGCAAGTGTGGTCATAAAATCATTCACAAAACATGCAGAAGCAAATTATGATCTTTAAAACTCCAATCCCTGGAAAAGAAGCGCGCAGTTGAGAATATCAGCAGGAATTAGTCGGATTCAGCTCTAAACAGCTGATAAAATTCGATTGATCGGCAGACGTGGCCAGAGCGCAGACGGAAAAGTAGCGAGAGCGCAGACGGAAAGGCTGCGTCGTCCTGCTGAGATAGTGTGGATGCGGAGGAGTGCAGACGACAAGACGGGATTGCCAGTCCACCCGTCTTCACCACTAAGATTCGCTGTGGAACGGCAACGTTCCATTGCGGCGCGGTGCGCCGACGCTAAGAGTTCGTGCGGACCGCCCACTATCAACGCGGGCCGGATATGCGATGTAGATGTAGCAGCGAATATTAATTTCTCAACTCGCGTCGAGCGAAGACTGAACGCAATGGAAGGACACAATGTTCTCACTGTTCATTGAATTGTATCTACCAGCGTAAACGTCCTATGAAAAACTATTTGTTAAGTTTCGCAAATATTCAGATGCACAACGTTAGAATCCTTCACTCAATGACCAACAAATTGATTAAGGGAATGAAGAAGTAGTACAGAGGACACTGGCAGTGAGTTTAAGCATTCGAACTGCTAGGTCGAAGAGTGCGGTGATTGCCGCCGGTAAAAAGTAATGATCGTAGGAATGTGCAATCGCAAGAATAAGAACATTACAGTAATAAAATGTGTACAATAATACCATTACAAGAAAAATACGCAACCCTGCTACCCACCTTGGATTGGAAAAGGAAAAAAAACCTATGCGCTATAGTAATTAATATTTGAAAAGGTTGAAAATGCAAGAGTAGTCGATTTTGTTTTAACGTTATTGATATCACAATTTCGCCAATGTTGATGCACAGTAGTATTCTTGTACGATTAAGTGTATTAACACATTGACGACATTGAGACGCGGTAACGCGTCTCACTTTGCGCACCTCGTTGGACATTGAGACGCGTTACCGCGTCTCACCCTTATCATCCCTTTTTCTAGGGCATGCGCAGCTTTTTCCCGAATTGTTTGTCTCTCTTCTATGGATTAGAACATAACATTATTGTGAACGACATAGGTCATTGTTTGTTCAAATATGCTCCAGTTTAGAAGAAGTTTTCCAAGCTCACCGAAACCGGCGGCTTGGTTCATTAATAGTTTTCATGCTATTCTCATGAACACGTCAATAAAAAAGGGTAGTGAAAGTAAATGCAAATCTAAAGAGACAGAAAAATACATGTTCACTTGGTATAACCACATCAAAAGAGCTTTTGGCATCCACTACAGATAAAATGACTAAAATTTCCTTTTTCATTACCATTACATGTTCTTTAATCGGAACTTCGTCACTATATACTCTATTACCTTCTACGCATTGACTGTTACTGAGATGTTTTTGTACCACTGGTGCTTTAAAAAGTTATCAATAAAAATTCACGGATCCGAGGTGCGGCGGTCGCACTCGCAAAATCGGCCCGGTCCCACACGGCCAAAAAAGCCAAAACGCGCGCGGTCGTCAATGTGTTAAATTGTTCTCGGCATCTGCGCCGCATGCGTATACAGGGTGGTCCAAAATTATAAGGACCAAGATTGTGTCGTTAAAAACGCATAGTAGCTAGATGGAACAAACAAACTTTGGAAAGGTGTATTTGTAACTCTTATCTCAAAGTAATTCCAGAATAGAATTGAGATCTTCACCATATGCGCGCCCGACGCATTCCACGAGCCTTCAGATGAAAGGGATGGGGCGTGCGGGTGCTACGCAAAAATTGAGGATGTCAAAATTTTGGTTTCGGCGGGTCTGCCTTGTCCTGCTTCTCTTCCGGAAAAAAATTTTGCGGGCATTTTTATTTGCGCTTGCGCTATAAGTGGTTAAATGCGAAAACCTAGTGCTATATTTGGAAGGCTTCCGTTGTTGTGCACAACCCTCCGAAAGCAACGAACTCGAAATTCGCTTTTCAGAAGATTTTTGCTTTATTCTTGGGAGCTCGATCTTGTACAGTCAGATCTCTGTCCCTAGACTGCTCGAGTGGCTCCCCATCCACTACAAATGTAGAGCCTTTAGGGTGTCTGGCTAAGTTTTCACATCAATTTTCTCACTTTGGTTATGCAATTCGACAAGGGGAGACCTAGTTTCTGCATATGGCAATTGTCCTGGTGGTGACTGTAACTTTCGAGTCTCCGATTTTTTCATCCGTGATGTTGTTATTTCGCTGCTTTCGAGAACAGTGCGATATTTGGTTTCATCAGGAAAGAAGGCACTGTACTTCCTCACATAGTGCGCGGTAAAGGAGATGAAAATAGAGCTACTCTGAAAAAAGTGCACATGATCGTGTGCGCACGCGGTCCTCATAATTTTTGCCCATCCTATATATGAACGCATCTTCTCCGAGGCGTTTTCTATAATCTGTTGCATTATATCTTTTGAACATGTTCTCTTAACAAAGATTCCATCTAAATAACTCTTACATGCGCACGAGTGCCGCGATAGGTGGAATCTCCAATGTCTTTTGAGGCATCGTTGAATTGAGCCTCAATGAACTGAGTGAACTCCTTTCTCATTACCTTCCCCTTTTGTTTGTCGAACACGCCGCGTCCACGAGCGTAGCTTGCATGTTCTACAATAGCTACCACTCAAGAATGCAGGAACACTTTGACATAGGGCACCACCTGCCACACAGAGCAACACTGTCTTAGAAGGAGATTTTTGGCAAGTTTTTGAGCTCTAATCTGAAGGCAGATATACAGTGCGCGTCAATTGTATATGCCACCCCCTGATTTTTTCAGTTTTCTGACTTATTTGGAAATTTCGTAAATCGGCATAGCAACCATCGTTTTCGGCGTGTCGGAAAACTAAGAATGGTGTTGTTTGATTTTGGTTAACGCGTGATTTGAATTGCTCTGTTCTTTTGAAGAAAATGGGCCGCGTCAATTGCTTATGCCATCCTAAAGTTTCTTCAGAATTTCTCATGTCTCTAACGCTATTCAGCTACGGTGTGCATGCAGTACAAATGAGAAAATCCTCCACTTATGCAATGCACACAAATGGTGAAGCATTTATAATTGATCAGTTCGTAAATACTAGCCCTTATACTGGACGGTAGCAGCATGAAAACGCTTTATCAGAAAAAGAGCTGTGTGCTCACTTTTGCGATCGCTCCTGCTGCTTATTATAGAGCCGATCGAGGAGTGTATCCAGGCAAGACTGGGGAAATTGAAGTGCTTAAGGAGCCCTTAAATTCACATTTTCCCGCTTTGAATCCGTGGTCAACTTTATTTGTGGTCTTGGCTCCCTGCGAAGCTCGAAGCGTTCACGCTCACAAAGTCTCTTTTTAGAGAGAACATGACTCGTACCTACTACCCGTCTGGTACCCATCACTGAACTCGATCGAAGTTTTCTTATCAAGGCGATGCAATGATGGCCCATGCCACCACTTCGGTGTCCCGTTCAAGTTACAACTGGCCCATGTCATCATTTTCGCTCGCTCGGTACGAAAATTTTTCCAGAGAGAATCCGACAAAGTTCGGCGATGGGTACTACGCGGATTGTGAGTGCAACTCATATTCTCTCTGAACAGAGACTTTGTGAGCGTGAACGCTTCGAGCTTCGCGGGAGCCGAGACCACAAATAAAGTTGACCACGGATTCGAAGCGGGAAAATGAGAATTTAAGAGCTCCTTGAGCACTTCAATTTCCCCAGTTTTGCCTGGATACACTCCTCGATGAGTTCTACAATAAGCAGCAGGAGCGATCGCAAAAGTGAGCACACAGCTCTTTCTCTGATAAAGCGTTTTCATGCGTTTTCTTACGCTCAAGCATCAGTCTGTTTATATTCCTCATAACTCGTTACGACTTAAGTTTCTCTTCCACGAAAAAGCAGGAAGCCCTGACGAAATCTTCATGTTTTATTAAGGGTAAACCCAGCACTGCATGGCAAATCTAACATGAAGCCATAGGGACATTTTTGTAGCATTAAAAAAATCATGACACCTCCATATTCCTTAATGAGAGTCGGCATTATTAACACGCTGAACTCTGCCCAGAAAATGTCAGATTAACTGTGTTTCTGACAACTTGTTTCTCTTTCACTGAGAAAATTGTTCAAGGCATGTTTATCTGGGACCATGAACCTGGTCTAATCGCATCGGCGAGGTCGTTAGAAAAACACATGGCCATCAGACGACGTGAAGTTGACGAAGAATACCGACGGAAGTTGATTTACATAGAGCTCAATAACACAGTCTGGTCTAATCGCACTGTCTGATGTTGGTTTTTGTGCTGGCACATTTTGTTGGTATATTGTAAATCGCATTGGTTCTCTGCTCATTACAGAATCTGTAAATGTTCTGTAATGGGCAGAGAATTGACAAGAATTCTTGCATCTCTAGAATGATGTGATAGCACACTATTGTTAGAGAAATGAACTACATAACCGCATAAAGTGCTGATAACTGTAAAATTTCCAATTCTGGAAATACTAGCTGCTTCTTGATAATCTTTATCCATATCTTTATCTTTGTCATTGTCACGTGCCAGGGAAATAGCAATAACTTGTGGTAATGTGACATATTAAGAACAATCATCTGACATATGAATTGAATAAAATGATATATGCACATCTCACTGACTACTTTGTACTCTGGCCGCTATAACTTCGGGTAAAAGTATTGACACGACTTTTGCTCCCCGAAAAAATTCGGTAGGCTCATCGAGGACGTAAGCAAACCAGCCCTTTTGGCGCTTCGGCTGGGACCGTATGCTGAATGTTGGGGAGGGGATGGAGTCCCCGACGGTGGACGGACCACTTCAACTCGGTCCTTAGAACCGCCACAATTTGGTGCTTACCTCAGAACTAAGCCTTAAAGAGAGGACGGGTCCGTCCCCTCTCCAAGGCTTAGTCCTGGGGTGAGCAAACCAGCCCTTCTGGCGGAGCTGCTGGACCAGCTGCACCACTTGCGTCAGTACTCTCCTATCGTACCAACCGAGTTGAAGTATCGACCGTTGGGACCCCATCCCCTCCCCAACATTCAGCATACGGTCCCAGCCGAAACGCCAAAAGGGCTGGTTTGCTTACCTCCTCATCGAGTTGCGGTTTCACCATGAAAATTACTTGGAAGAGCACTCTGCGTTCGCTCAGATGTGGTGAGTGCGCTTGGTGGTGAAGGAAAAGTTAAAAGTTTACCACCAGTAAAAATGGAAACAAACGGCAGCAAAAACTAAGAGACGGACACTCTCCGCTAATATGTATATAGTTTACGAGGCTGACAGTCCAAGACGTATTGGAAGAGTTGAGAGTACAAAAGTAGTTATGGAAGAATAGTGAGCAACGTGGGAAGCGGACATCGCTGAGGCGCATTCATTCCAGAATCTAGAAAAAACAAAAAAAAAAAACAAGTGCAATTCCAACGCTCTTCTTTCACAGAAAACTTGACTGATAACGTTTCTAGGCCTTAACCAGGAAGGTCTTTCAGGGCGTGACGAGCTTTTTGAAAACGGTCTTTTGCATGATATAGGGGCAGATGCGGGGACCACAGAACCATGTTTAATTTTTCCTGAACGGCCCTCTGAATACCAGAAAAGGGGTCCCTAGTTCGATTCCTCTTGGTGACAAATTTTTGCATTTCGAGTTGACGTTCCAAAATTCGCGCAAAATGGAGTTCTGATTGTTCTGGTTGGTTCTAACTCCATTTTGCGCGAATTTTGGCACGTCAACTCGAAATGCAAAAATTTGTTACCACGAGGAATCGAACTAGGGACCTCCTTTTCTGGTATTCAGAGGGCCGTTCAGGAAAAATTGAACATGGTTCTGTGGTTCCCGCATCTGCCCCTATATCATGCAAAAGACCGTTTTCAAAAAGCTTGTCACGCCCTGAAAGACCTTCCTGGTAAGTCCTTCTTGCAGATACCCTGAAATTCATAGCACTATAACAACACATGAAAACTCTGGCAATAACAAGTGCATCCTACCAATGTCGTCTTACGGGAAAGGAGCGGGTGGAGGACGAGGGTTTGATGCAAGAAAATGGGGATGGAATGTTACGTGGACTTTTTATATGTGTGTTGAGGAAAGCGATTGGTCCTCTCATAGTCACGATGGTTTACCTCTCGCACGTAGCACTGCCGCTCCTTTCCTAAGACGGATTGGTAGGATGCACCTGTTATTGCCAATGTGCTATGGTATTTTAGTTGATCTGAAGATGGGCTCAGGCCCGAAGCGTTATCAGTGAAGCTTTTTGCCGAAAGACAAAAACTTCTCGAAATGGCACTGTTCTGACCTAATAGAGGCGACAGCCTTAGGGAACCAATCAAACGAAGCTGTCAATTACCGTTGTTCAACGATCAGGCGGTGGAAGAAACAAGCATTTCAGACCAATTTTGATTCGTGACACGCCCCGCAATTCCCTCCCCTTTTGGGGAAACATGACAGAACAATTCAAATGGCTTAACAAGGCCATAATTTTTATACAGGATAATGGATATCCTTCTATTGTTGGAAATGATGTAATGTTTATCAGCATAATGCAAGGCTCAGAGTAAATAGAGGAATAGATGGAATTACACAAAAAATATAGTGCGATCGGGCTCAGGGCTACATACTACACATGGTTGCCTTTACTGCGTTATAGTACAGGGGTGGCCAAAAAAAAGAGACACTTTGCTCATGGCGCACATCATCGAACTTTTCGTCGCACAGGCAGACGATGTTAGTGAAAGTTTTACGGCGGAATATTCCTTAGATGTTCCCCCGTAAACAGAAGCAGGCCCTCCCTCATTGCCCCGCCGTCTTCAGAATACAACGTCATCTGCCGCCACCGTCAAGCGAGGCTTACCGTAATCGCTCCGGCCTGAAGCTGCACATGAATTTCTTCAACGGATTGACTGTTGAATAGCTTCCCAGAGACATTAGCTGTGACTATGCAAAACCGCTTTTGACCAGCGTTTCAGGGACGTCGTAATGGTCTATGGTACCTCGACGACCGTTGAGCTCGTACCGTGAACCATGTTTCCGTGGGAAAATCTTCTGACGTCGTCGGTTTAGAAGGCTGTCATGTAACTTTAGATAGATTAGAATGTGCTCTTTAAGACTGAGTTGGAGGCAGTCGATTTGGTTTTGGAAAAGTGTGATTAATGCTGTCTGAAATGTGGAGTGAAGTGTCTCTTTTTTTTGGCCACCCCTGTATACCGATCACAGAAACGCAAGTTCGATCAAGGAACTCCTTCGAACCTTTATCAAGCAAGTAAATTTTTGATGATGGGGGCTGATCAAAAGACGCCACCAGGCTGACCTATTGGAATGAGAGTGTCGTTAATTAATTAATTATTTTTATTTGTGCATTCAATGACGCGCCACTAACATCACAACAACAAGTGAAGCGGTACTAACTGCACGACTCAGGAAAGTAAGAAAAAAATTAAAATGCTATCTGATAAACTGTAATGTACAGCCATTAAAACAGTTGTGAGTTAAAAAATCTATGAAAAAATGAAGATAAATTAACAATAAAAAATAACGGCTTTTCGAGAGTTCCATTTTCTTGTTGATTTATCTTCATTTTTTTTTTTCATAGATTAAATGGAAGAGAAGAAGTGTTCAAGCAAGGTGCTTCGCTCAGCGAGCGGGACATGGAAAGGCCCACTTCAAGCCGTATGCTCACACAAATGAAGTCACACGAAGCTATGGAGACCTAAGCCTGAAGCCTTTGAGAATTACATTGCGGTAAAGACGAATTCACGATGAAAAAGCAACCCATTTCAAATTAACCTAGGGATGGTGAGTGGTACACGAAAGAAGGAAGAACCATGAGAAACGGCCCAGAACCCGAGAAATGGTACCCCTTCCTTGCCCGTTGATTCGAGCATTGATGCGACTCTCATCGCTGTGCCCTCTTCAACACTACGCTCTCTCAGCTATCTAATCACTCGCCACGTATTGAACTACGGCGAGTGATCAGATGATCGGTGGGCGGAGATCGCCGGACCCGCCAGCTTTGAGGCATGATAGGTCGCCGAGGTCAAATTTTTCCATGCGAATTGCGCGTCAGTTCGCACCCTCAGGAGGTCCGTGGGTCCCTCAACTAGGTCAGTTTCCCTTTCTTCGACCTTCATTCTAATCGTGAATTCCTCCTTTTAAGAGTCAGCGTCAGTTGCCATGATGCCCTTCGCCCCATTTGAGGGGTCATAGGAATTTACCGAAACTTCGAGAAACGGGTGTGCTGACCGTCCATGTAGAACCGGCAAGGTTGACAGAATCCACGACGCATCTTCCCAAATCCTTCGGCTAGAGTTGTCTTTTTTAGCCGAGTTTTAATTTTAGTGTTTTGGGGAAGATGGACACCTTCATCAGTGGAGGACTAGATTACCATATATTTAAGGTGTTCGTGAAGCCGCTAAGCCTGAGCAACTGCATAAAACTAGAAGTGGAAACATGGAGAGAGAAAGACTGTGATACGTCGTCAACACCGAGAACTTCCACCAAAGATTGAGCTTCTTCCCGTAGCGATTTGATAGCAATCCGGGAGGGATAAACAACTCGCATCCGTGCTGCTGTCGTTTCAAAATTTGCTGGTTTGTCACTGAGAAATGGGTACATCTAGCAGAGTAGAAGTGGAATGTGCTGAGCATTCCGTTATACCATGTTGAATTTGACTCTCGTCGTACCTTCCATTCATCTCCGTAATTTTTCAAATATTTAATCAATCCATTTCCAGCCAAGTTTGCCATTCCCTCACTCTCGACTGTTATCTGCCCGGCGGGTGCAATTTAGTGCTGGCCACAGTTGCGTCACACTCCGAAATGACCAGCCATTATGTTGCATCTAACGGCAGGCAGGTGTCACCAGCGTGATGGGCTGGTTAGACGACTTCTCATCAAAAATGATCAATATTACTTTTTACACGTGCGGCCGCAAGAAATACCGGCTCGTAAGGTTTAGCTCCCAACAGTTGCAGTGTGACCCGCGAAGCTATGCGGGGCTTATCTTGACTGATCTTCAGTACAATGCGCGCACAACATTGAAAAAAGTCAAATGAAAGATGCACTAAATTTTCTCCTAGAAAGTTTCCAGTTGTTTAGCTAAGCCGATTGCAGTGATTTCAAGACGTGTGAACGAGTACCAAGTGTTTGCTTGAAGGAAAACTACATGCTCGGGTATCTTGAATGTCTCAACCGCTTTCGAGTTTTCCGTTGACTGATCTCAGGGTTTTTGCTGATGCAAAGCACAGCCCCTTTTTGGCCGAGCCCTCTTGTATTTCCATGGTTTACATGAGGGACTCTTTTTGTTGGCATTTCATTTCAGAGGTAATTATTACGTCAACAAAACCATACCGCCCTCCAGTTGTTATGTTTGGGTACAAGCACATATGGCAAAACCCAATAACAACTCTGGTGAATAATCCGCCTATGTATCCAACCGGTTAACATACAGGGGGGTCAAAAAAAAAGACATTTTGCCTATGTCGGACTTCGGCCCTTTTTTCTTCGCAGAGATTGCCGGCGTTGACGGGAGTTCCTCAGCAGAGTATTCCCTAAGTGTTCCTCTATATAAGTGAACGCAGGCCCTCCTTCACTGCTGCTACCTGGTCTTTTAGTTTATTTATATTGAGGCGCCGTGGTTTTTTCGGTCCAGGCTCAAAGATCTATCTGATAAGGCTCAGCGCTGAAGCTTTACGCATTTCGTGGAATCGATTTAATGTTGGATACTTTCTAGGAGGCGTTAGCTCCCACTATACAAATCCCTCGAAACGAGCTTTCCAGTAAAGGTCGTTATGGTACAGAATCCTTCGAAGACCCCATTGAGCTCGACCAGTGCACCATGTTTCCAGGGCAAATTCTTCTGTTGCCGTCCACGTGGGTGGCCAACATGAAGATTTTCTTATAGAATGAAATGTGCTCTTCAATATTAAGTTGGGAACACTCGGTCTCAATTGAGCAAAGTGTGCTTAAATCCATCTGAAAGTGGAGACAAAATGTCTTTTTTTTTATTGCCCCCCCCCCCCTGTATAAATCAGACTATAACTCTTCTTCTGAATTTCGGAAATTCCGAATATTTTTGCGGCAAGTGAAGTTGCTACTAAACAGGTAGTGCATAAGAAAAGTGAGCACATTAACAAGAAGCCATCACATTTGCTAAACGTCAGCTAAACAGATCAGAACTCAAAGTTTGTAGCTTACTGAGGGATTTATTCTGTTTTATCGCCATCGATCAAGACTACAAGTGGCTGACATTATTTATTTTGATGCAGTGAGTTGTCTACGAGGTCTTTCCTATTGACATGGCCAGGTGTTATGTAGCTGGTGCCGATAGACTCGAACACCGCCAGTAACAGCTGGCGATGGACGCCAGTGGCGGGCCAGCGAAAACGATGCGGTGATAAGCGAGTGACAAATGAACCTTTTGATGGCATTCCTGCCTCTTTCGCTGGAATTCTTGAACTGGAGTGCACCGTTAAGAATTCAGCAGGTTGGTAATGAGGGAAATCGTCTGTAAAGAGGAAAGCATCTACTATGAGAAACAACAAATCCTTATAAGTGAACGCTTTGAGAGAAGACAAACGATAAATCTTCCATTTATGGGAAAAAGTCTGATTTTTAATCAGTTCCACGCGCCATTTCTTTCTATCTGGATGGATGTGAAGCAACCGCAAAGGGGCTTCTCATTGTCCGTGGATAAAATACAGGAGGAAGGAATTTCCGAATAGTCCATTTTCGACCTTCTTGCAATCTTGGTATGATTGGTCCA